ATAAAGGGCAAACCCCGGTGTACAAACTCCCTTTGTTGCAAGGGTACGAGGGACATTCCGATGACAATAAGTAACCTTATCGCTGCTTCAAGCTCTTTTATTTTTTAATTATTAATATGCCTTTTTTATTACATTCATATGCATTAATTTATCGGAATATCCTGTTTATAAAGAATCACATTTAGAAACAATTTGCCACGTAATTACTTTTTTTGCCTTGATATCCTATATAGAGAATGAATATGTTGGTTATCTAAAAACAATAAATTGAATATGTTATTTTCTTATAAAGAATCAATTCAACCCACAAATATTTTTCAATGTTTTTATATTATATCTCTAACACACACTCCTTGTGTAAGAGATCTTTGGACTTGAAGTATGAATATTACACATGTCCATTTTTTTATTCTACTTGTGTTGACTTAATTTTATTAAAAAGTGTGGGACAAAGAAAATGAAACTTGTGACTCCATGGTCAACAAAGCTCTAATACCATGTAAAATAATCGTATCACCCAAAAACTTAAACTTGAAAGGCCTTCAATAATTTTATATTATCTTTCCCTAATATTTCTAGTCATCTAGTGTGGCAGCGATCTATGCAGTGACAGAGTTGAAGGACGTCTGTCTTACTTGACTGCTGTATGAGCGTGATTTAGACAGTTATTTGTGTGTGTGTAATTAGCACTCATGTTTACGAAGCAAATTACGAACGATATTTTCAATCGATATGAATTACGTCCATTAATAATTACTATAAAAAAGATTTGTTCCGAGTATCGACGCATGCATGTCATTCTAGGAATTTCAACGAAGTAGATGCAAGGCTTTCTTGTGAGAAACGTTAGCGTTTTTGGCTTGGATATTACGTTATATGTTTAGCAGTTTTGCTGATCTGTTAAGCTTTGTTGTGTTAATGTGTTTCTCATTTATAATAACACTTGTGTTGTGGATATGCTTAATGTGCAAATTAAGTTCTAACGAGAAAGGCAAAGTCACAGTGTTTACGGCTAATAATAAGGGAACACAAATAACCAGCTGTGGCAGCTCTTTTCTGTGCTCCGTTTTGCTTGCATAGTTCACAATATCATGCAATTAATGCATCAGCATCTATTGTGCTTGTGAATTATTTCATTTCTCTTCTTCAATTTGGAGGTTTTTACTTTGTACCCATAAATTAGCTTGGAGGCAAACTATATATATGAAACAAAGTGTAAAGCATGATTTGACTTCAATTTAGGTACGATATCATCAATGGACCCAATGCCCACTGGAATAATGGTATAAAAAGCAATGGGTCCTGGGATTTTTTATGTCAACCTTAAAAAGAGTAAATAATATATAGATTAAATACTCTTTTTAGTCCCTCGCAATATCTACGAAGTCCTTTTCAGTCCCTAGCAATAAAAAAGGGACAAATTGGTCCCTGAAATAACAAAAAAGAGGCCACGTTCATCCTTCTGTTAACTCTCACCTAACGGTCCAACTAACGGTGCACAGTTGACACGTTAGTTTGCTGACGCGGCTTGGATGTGGGACACTGTGAAAAACGAGACGACTACGTTTTGGTCCCTGTCAAAATCACGAGGGCCATTTTGGTCCCTGTCAAAATGCACGAGGACGTTTTTAGTCCCTGACAAAAAGCACGGGGCCCTTATTGGTCCCTAACCAGAGAAAAATAGGCACATGACTTCATTGCTTTCTATGCAGTCCAATTTTGCAAAACAGAAGTGCATTACATCAAAAACAGGAGTGCAATCCAATTTTGCAAAACAGGAACATGACATTAAATTGGATTTGTATGCAGTCCAATTTGTTAAACCAGAAGACATGGATGTACAAGAACTACAACTACATATATTAGTTAAAAAACATCAAAAATGGTAAACTTAAACATTCATCAATCCTGTGAAACATAATAGCTGGAACATGATTTGAGTATCATTATATTTGAAGACATGGATGTACAGTAGTGCATTACAAAATAAAGTCAACTGCTAGGAATTAAAAGAAAGGCCTATAATACAATATGACTAGAATTTACAAAAAAAATATTGACATAATAAGGCCTCCAAATACATAATGGCCAAAATTTTCAAAAAAAGTCAATCACATAATAATAAACCCTTCTCAGTTGGCTCATGCACTACTCCCAGGTCATATACAGCAGCAGGTCATTTTCTTGAGGCAGGCCTTGGTGGCCTAAAACCAGGTGTGCTCATGAAGGCCAATAATCTGCTTCGTGTGCCACTGGTTGCTGCATTCATTGTTTCATTACTCAACAACTCATTTGCCTGTTGTGGATTTGATGGAGGTGGACTGCTTCCTCTCAAGTTGCCTTCATGTGGCTGAGAACCACCAACTGTTGCAGTCCAGTCAACTGTCATGCATTGCAATTATCAACAATCATTTACCTGGCTTCTTCTCTGATTTTTCTCTGTATTTAAATATCAACAATCATGCAATTATCTTTTATAGAAAAATAAAGAGTATAATTGTAATGCTACACTACTGAAGATATTGTTCGTAAATCGCATAACGCTATGTCTTAAACAGACTAAGAGAATCAAAACAATTCATAGTATTCTAGGGATCGTAGAAGTTGTTTGCAAGAGTCAAGAATCCCTTTTAACAAAGTGGGAAGCTTAATTAGCAATGCAAAAGAAATGAATAATCGTTAATAAGGTCGAAACTTCAGTTAGAAACACAAACTTCATTGAAATAAAATGCCAAGAAGGAGTATTTTACTTTGTGATGAAATTTAGTTTAATTACTTTGTGATGAACAAATGGATTGCACTCTTTGTTTCTGATGTAATGCACTTCTGTTTTACAAAATTGGACTGCATAGAAAAGCAATGAAGTCATGTGCCTATTTTTCTCTAGTTAGGCACCAATAAGGGCCCCGTGCTTTTTGTCAGGGACTAAAAACTTCCTCGTGCATTTTGACAGGGACCAAAATGGCCTCGTGGTTTTACAGGGACCAAAACGTCGTCGTCTCGTCTTCCACGGTGTCCCACATCCAAGCCACGTCAGCAAACTAACGTGCCAACTGTGCACCGTTAGTTGGGCCGTTAGGTGAGAGTTAACGGAAGGATGAACATGACCTCTTTTTTGTTATTTCAGGGACCAATTTGTCCCTTTTTTATTGCTAGGAACTGAAAAGGGCTTCGTGAATATTGTGAGGGACTAAAAAGAGTATTTACTCTAATATATAAAACAAACATAAAAGAGAATCTTCGACGTCTTTTACTATTTTGTGTGTACATCTGATATATATGGTAGGAAATAACTATAAATCTTTGTCACGGGATGCAAGATAATATCTTTGGCACTTAAAGTGTCACTTTAGTTTAACTCAGATAGTGTGACTTTATTTACTGACGATTAATTCTTAAATTTTTATATGGCCCAATACAGTGTAATAACTAATTAACTATAACTACTCTTCTGAGTATATTGGACAATTAATTAACATTTAATAACCCATTCCAGAATAGGTTCATTGATGAAAGCAATATTATGCGTCATTTTACTAAAAAAACATGACATGTAACATATAAGCACACAATCTTCCAAAAAAAAAAATATGTATATAATCACACATACTATTGGATTCAAAATAATACATTATTAAATTATACCTACAAGCAATAACAGACCTATAAAATTTTATTTATGTCTACACACTTACAATAAAACAATAAAGAAAAAAAATTAAAGAAAATTTTAAATATATTAAAATACAAAAGAATATAAACAAAAAAAGAAAAGAAAACTTTAACTTAATAAAAGAAAAGTAGTCAAGAGTCAACTAAACTGTTACAATAGAATATTTTGGGTCCTCAACAAAAATTACGGGCCCCAATTTATTCTCTTAGGAAAAAAAAGTCGACTTGTGGTCCCTTGGAAATCAAAAATAGATCCAGATATTCAAAATCATGGTCCTCTGAAATTCAAGAAGATCCGCATTAGTCCCTCAAAAGGACTAACATGGATCTATTTTAAAATTTAATGAAATTACAAGTCGATTTTTTTTAAGAGATTAAATTGGGTCCCATAATTTGTGTTGATGACCCAAAATATATTTTATTTTTTCAAAAAATTTGTATGTGCACTTGCAGATATACTTGCAGACATAGAGATCTGCCATTGCCTACAAGTAGTGTTTAAAAATCCGGCCCGACCATCAACCCGGCCGAGGTCAGGGGTCATGGGGTCACAGGTTCAACCGAGGGGTCACGGGGTCACTACGCTGACCCTGGTTTTATATATTAAAAAGGGATAGGATATTGTGACACACAAGTAATGTTACGCACAATGTTACGCACAATCATCTTACCGTTCAATTGAAAATCTTATCCGACGGTCCTCGTTGGTCTCATAAATATCCCGTCTGATCGTTTCTCTCTCCCCTTTCTCTCTCTTTTCCCTTTTCTCTCTCTCACTATACACAGTAGCTGCCGCTGGCCTAGCCTCTATCTCCGACGCCGACGCTGCCGCCGCCACCCGCCTCCGTCGGACCAATATCCCCTCTGTCATCGTCTCTCTCTCCCCTTTCTCTCTCTTCCCTTTTCTCTCTCTCACTATACACAGTAGCCGCCGCCACTGCCCTAGCCTCTGTCTCCGACGCCGTCGCCGCCACCCGCCTCCGTCGCACCGCCGCCCACCTCCGTCGCGCAGAGAGCTTCGCTGAATACACGATAGTGAGGGACCGATTTTTAACAGGTTCTACTTTTACCATATTATTAGCAGCGTTGTTGATTTTACATAAAAATATTTCTGAATCTCAGAGCATTTCGCATTCCCACAGTAATTGTTAATTTTTTTAATAATGATTTTGTTTGTGTCATGTGAATAATCTGGTAAAATACCATTGAATCAGAATTATGTCTATTTGATTGAAAACATTTTATTATTTTTAATTTGTTGTCCTTGATGATTTTTTCACTTATCTATGATCATATATACCATTTAGCATATCAACCCCGATAGCATATCATATATACCATTTAGCTTCATAGTTGATTGCTCTTGAGACACGGCAGAATTTGCTTACTGTGTTTTTTGGGCTCGTTGTATTCTCAAATGTCTCCTCATCATACTCATATCCAGCCTGCCAGAAAAACAAAACTCTCCTTCATAAATCTGTAATTCACTGCTTGATTTTGATGGCTTATAATACAACTAAACACAAATGGAGGGGGGTTAAACATGTGTTGGTTCTGTGCATTCGTTGTTGCACAAGATAAATTTAGAACCAAACTAAATAATTAAATATGCTACCTTTCCTCGTCGTGTGCCCATGTAAATACCAATTTAGCTATCTTGATAAGTAATAAACTCACTGTAATGACTTTGACAGATATCTTACCCTGACAAAAGAATCTCGCACACAAGTTTTCCACCACACAATGTTTGGCATTTTGGCAGCATACCCAAAACATGGATACTTCCTTGCCATGTCCTTGTATGCCAGCTTAAAGCCCTCATCCATACGCTTGTAGTCTGGGCATGGAAGGCCAACTGCTTTGGCTGCCATGCAATAATAGTCACCAAGCTCCCCTTTGTAAGCCATTAGGGTACCAGTAACATCTATAGTGACACAGCGTAGTTTAGCCAATATTGACATGGTAGCACAAATTAAGAAGCACACCCTTTGTTGGCTAAGTGAATGTTTAGAAGAATTTCCAGTATAGCAATGCCAATATAAATTTCAAGGAACCAACTAATGGGGTAAAGTATTGAACTCCTTCAACATTGATGCTAAAGCCTGCATATGCAATTCCAAAATTAGCTGGTTAAGTTTAAAAGAAATTTTGATTATAAAAAAGCTTACATGATGATATGGCTTCGTAAATTGTTTGGCAATAAGTAAAAAGGAGGGGCAAGGGCAAGGGGAAGGATGCTTAATATTGGTGTTTTAAATGATATTATGGCACAAAATAGAACTTTTAAAATAAACATTAAACTTGTGATCTACTAGACAGTCATGGATACATGCAAGCAGAAAACAAAAAGAAATGAATTCTATAGGCTACAAGAGACTATAAAGTGCACATACTGGCACCATACACTTGCTCTAAGAGGAAAAAAAACCATTTAAATTACACTGACCATTATAAACAAATAAGAAAGTTTTGAAGTTACACCAATACTATCCTGAAAGATGCTATTTTCGTTCATGCACAGCAAAATTATTCCAATAACTCTAAATATGCCTACTGGTTTTTTGTCAAACTAGTGTACAATTTCGTGGAATGTGGATAGTGATTATGATCGACTCGATAGAAAAGAGTGAGTAGTGTGTATTTTTCATTGTGCTCAGGGTTTAGTTGTGAAGCTGGTAAAATTTAAAGTGAAATTCGTCTTTGTGTTATATTTTTTTATCTGTTTTTCAAGTTCAGAAACAAATAACCATTTCTTTTTTTTTTCATTATGAAGTAGCTTGGCGGCTAGACAATCAGCTCTTTGGCATATTTGAGGAGCAAGAGGTTTGTCCAGAATCCTTGGATCAACTTTTGTCTATTCATTTGAGATAATTTGCCTCATAAAAAATTGCTTATAATCAAAATCGGTAAGTATACATTTTGTTGTTGTTGTTGTGATTAAGAGTATTTGAATGTTATTTATATGTTTATTGGTTTTAAATTTTTAGGTATATTATGGATGAGCATCCGGACTACATTAACTTAAATGATGAAATTAGGAATGACATACATGTTGAATTGGGTGATGAGTTATTGAATATAGATGATGATCCAATAGATTACATCAACTTCAGTGATGATGAAATTATAGAAGAGATGCCTCTTAATTTAGGAGATGACATATCGAATGCTTTAACTGATAACATTCCAAATGTCATTCCCTTGACACCGACAAAGAATTCTAATATTTTGATTGAGGTTGGAATGGAATTTTCCGAACAAAAGGATGTACTGGACTTGTATACAACATATGGCAAGGTAAAAGATTTCGGAATCCGAATACGAACAAGGAGGGGTAATTACTTTAGGCTAGTTTGTGCTAGACAGGGACATCCACCACAAAAAAAGGATAAAGATGTTGCTCAAGTTTGTCAGACCAAATTAAAAAAGACATCATCAATACGCGTTGGGTGTGAAGCTTATGTAAGTGCTTATAAAAGTGAAAACACAAAAATGTGGAGAATTACACAATTTAACGACAACCATAATCACGGTCTTGTGACTCCAAAGAGTGTTCGTTATCTCAGATCACAAAAAAAAATGTCTACTGCTGCAAGATCATTGGTTGAACGCTTTAGTGATGCAAGCTTGCCCACAGGAAAAGTAGCTACCATCTTCAAAGGCGATGAGTTATCATTTGACAGTCGAGATTGTTATAATCATCTAAAAAGTGTGAGGAGAAGAATATATAACACAGGAGATGCACAAGCTGTGTTACACTATTGTGTTAAACAACAATCATTGCATCCAAATTTCTTTTTTTCCATTAAATGTGACGATGAAGATCGCATGGAAAGCTTTTTCTGGATTGATGCAAGGTCCAGGCAAGCTTATGAGCTATTTGGTGATGTCATCACATTTGACACGACATACAGAACTAATAAATATTCAATGCCATTTGGACCTTTTGTCGGTGTCAATAATCATTTACAGTCAATCTTGTTCGGATGTGCTTTATTGAAAGACGAAACAGAAGATACTTTTGTGTGGCTATTTAAGGAATGGCTTCGAGGAATGAATTGGAAACATCCAGGCGCCATAATTACTGATCAGGTATAATCATTTTAAGTACATCTTTTCAATTGTTTCTTATATTAATCATTGTATTCTTACATATGTCATTGAATTTACAGGACATGTCAATTACCAATGCAGTATCCAAAGTTTTCCCAAAAAGCAAGCATCGGTTTTGTATGTGGCACATCACAAAAAAGTTTCCGGAAAAATTGTCTCACGTCTATCAGCAGCATGCCACATTTAAGAGTGATTTCAATAACCGTATCCATACAAAAAAGAGCACTCGAGATTTTGAAGACAAATGGCAACGTATTCTTGATAAGTTTGGTCTTCATGAGAATGAGTGGTTGCAGTCACTTTATTCAATTAAATCGTCTTGGATACCAATCTTCAACAGATCCATTTTCTTTGCCGGTATGAACACCACTCAGCGTAGTGAAAGCATCAATTCATTCTTTGATGGTTTTGTTACATCTGGCACAACCTTAAAGGAGTTTGTAGAAAAATATAATCAAGCAGTAGATGCTCGTTATGATTCATTCAAAAAACAAGACTTTGAATCTAGGCATAAAGAAAGGCGTTTAACGTTGAATATGCCATTGGAAGAGCATGCAGCTAAGGTCTACACTCGTGCAATTTTCACAAAGTTTAGTGATGTGCTTTCTCATAGTTTTCCTCTCTCTAAGGAGAAACTTGGAAATGATGGTGAGTGGGTTACCTATCGAGTTTTTAATAGGAAAGAGAAGGATTATTCTGCAACGGTGAAGAAGAAGTTGGAAAGTAGAGAAACTAGATGTTCTTGTCAATTTTTTGAGTTCATGGGAATCCCATGTGAACATATTATTGCTGTTTTTTCGGTTGAAAATGTTGAGCAGATCCCTGAACATATGATTTTGCGACGCTGGAGCAAGGAAGGAAATGATATAATTAGTACCAATAAAGACATTTGTAATTTTCATGGAGAAGGACTCCTTCGTGGCTTTGAAATACGCCATAGAGTTTCGAAACTTATTAAGCTTGCAGATAGGTCCAATGAAGCAGCTAAATTCGCTTGTCATGGTCTTGATTCTCTCACTGAATCTTTAGAAAAATTTCCAACACCTGATGAAAGTATTGGTCTCGAGGATTTTGATTCACATTACTTGAGTTCTCAAACTGAAGAGTCATCTATGATGAGATTGAATGATCCCAACATTTCACAAACGAAAGGTCGAAAAAGGGAGTCACACAATATCTCACAGGGACGTAGAATTCATAGTGGGATTGAAGAAGCATCAAAGAATACTAATATTTGTGGAAATTGCAAGAAACGAGGACATAATAAGCGTACATGTAGATAGAAAAATTTACATTGACTTTAGTTTTTTTATTTATTTTGGGTTACATTACATTTGTTACATGATTATTATTTAATTTATTATTTATTTTAGTTGGTATAAGACGTATTGTATTATTCTACAACTTTGAATGTTGTTAGAAATATAGTAAAATATGAATTTGTGCGAATTTTGACATGATTTAAGATTTTACGATATCTAGAAAGTGTAAGTAGCAACAAACTGCATTTCTTAATCCCTGTTCCAAGGTATTCTCAACATCTGTTTTGGATTTGACTTGTGCTAACTGCTTTATCGGTGTTAGGAAAATTATTCAGATGACTCTATTTTTTTGTTACATTAATACTCGCTTGACTATTTTTTTTTTCATGTTATAAAAGTAGCAAATATAGCTGATTTGGCCACTAATCAGGCAACTTCAGACTTCCATACTTGCACACTGAACAACCTGTTCTTTAGGAGGTTTATTTTGTCTATTTTTTGTATATATTTTTTACTTAATGAGGTACATCTAAATTGATCCTGATATAATTGGTTTTAATATGCAATTTCAAATTTAATATTCCATGGAATTTAGTGAATGCTTGTGCCTGCGGATGTGGTAACACTGTTCCATGCAGGAACTCTGAAAATTTGAAGTTGTAACTTGTTATAATTACTTCATCAGCACATGTTAGTTTTACACCAAAATTTCAAGCTAAAAGTGTGGGTGGAACTGGATATTAGTTTCAGAGAACCACAACTTGAAAGAGAAAAATTGAATTGTCATTTTCATTAAAATTGAATACAAAGGATACAAAGCAAGGCTATAAAACCAGAACCAAAAGAGGGCCAAAACAAAAAGGCTAATAACAAAACTTTCCTAACAGAAAAGGAACGTGCAAGTGTGTGGCAACAAATGCACACATCACTTACTTACTAACAGAATACCAATCACTATTTGGTGGACTGTGGCTCTTAAATAGTTTTTAAATTCTTAATGCAGTGGCTGTTACATCAATAACATCATCAAGCAATGTGTGATTTCTCAATCCTTGTCCTTTCGGGGTGAGAAATATATTGGCAAGGTGTGATAATATATTTATTTTTTGATTCTACAACATCCATCCTTGGAGACCACTCACTTCCTGCAACCAAAAGAAAAAAAGATATAATTCTGTTTGTAAGCTACTTAGCTAGTATAACTTCTAATAATTTTCAGATTTCAAAGCACTTACCACCAATTTTGGGATAGCTTATTTTTTCTCAGCATGCAATTGGTCTCCTCGTCCAATCTGTGTGCTCCGCCTAACAATTGGTTTCCTTGTAGGTTTAGCAAAACATGGTTCTCTTGCATTAGAAGGCCTTTTCACATGGAAAATTCTAGTAAAGCATAATCACAATGAATTTAGCCATATGTCACGTAAAGTTAAAAAAATATTTAGACAATATGAACTTTCTAGTAACTGTTCCAAAACCAAAACAGATGCCAAAAAAATATTTAGACAATTGAACTCACAACAATAGATTGAAGGTATCGATTCTGGGGAGAGGGAACCATATCTCGGTTGACAGAAACTATATAATGTCCCCACGAGAGATCAATTGTATCCTTCACATAAACCAAAAAATATGAACAGAGTAAAGTAGTTACCAATAAACAAATAATTTCTTTACATGAAAAAAAACTATAAGCAACCACAACTCAAAGTCCATGTGAATGATTACCAGGTTCGACTTTTACCAGATTTTTACCAGAGTAAAGTAGTTACCAAGAAATTTTATATATTTTATAAATTTTACCTGCAAGAAATTTTTTCAATATGGTAAAAGTAGAACCTGCTAATAATATGGTAAAACACAGTAAGCAAATTCTGCCGTGTCTCAAGAGCAATCAACTATGAAGCTAAATGGTATATATGATATGCTATCAGGGTTGATATGCTAAATGGTATATATGATCATAGATAAGTGAAAAAATCATCAAGGACAACAAATTAAAAATAATAAAATGTTTTCAATCAAATAGACATAATTCTGATTCAATGGTATTTTACCAGATTATTCACATGACACAAACAAAATCATTATTAAAAAAATTAACAATTACTGTGGGAATGCGAAATGCTCTGAGATTCAGAAATATTTTTATGTAAAATCAACAACGCTGCTAATAATATGGTAAAAGTAGAACCTGTTAAAAATCGGTCCCTCACTATCGTGTATTCAGCGAAGCTCTCTGCGCGACGGAGGTGGGCGGCGGTGCGACGGAGGCGGGTGGCGGCGACGGCGTCGGAGACAGAGGCTAGGCAGCGGCGGCGGCTACTGTGTATAGTGAGAGAGAAAAAAGGGAAGAGAGAGAAAGGGGAGAGAGAGACGATGACAGAGGGGATATTGGTCCGACGGAGGCGGGTGGCGGCGGCAGCGTCGGCGTCGGAGACAGAGGCTAGGCCAGCGGCAGCTACTGTGTATAGTGAGAGAGAGAAAAGGGAAAAGAGAGAGAGAAACGATCAGACGGGATATTTATGAGACCAACGAGGACCGTCGGATAAGATTTTCAATTGAACGGTAAGATGATTGTGCGTAACATTGTGCGTAACATTACTTGTGTGTCACAATATCCTATCCCTATTAAAAATATATAAATATATATATCCTATATGAAAATATTAAAAAATAAACCACCAATCATCAAAGATTCAAAATATACTTAACATAATTCACCAATTACAACCACAAGTTAATGGGATCACTACGCTGATCCGGTTCTGCCTCTTTTGAGAAAGTCTCTAACAAAGGAAAATTTAAAGGAAGTAAGAATGAATTTTTGTTTTTCATCGACAATCGTAAAGATCTCATTTGAATGGGTAAATTTTTACCTTTTCTAGAAGATTTATGGCAACGAGGTGAAGATTGAAGACGCCTAGGTCGCTTGGAAAGAATAGAACGATAAGTTTTAGGTTTGCAAGTATTTTTATTTTATTTTTTTAATAAAACGATGTTGTTTCATGAATTTTTTTTTTTTTGTAAAAAGGAAACATGCAATGACCCCCTTCGACCCCTTTGACCCGGGAGTCACTGAAACCCGGCTGGATTTTGGGGGTCAGAGAGGTCGATGTGCATATAGGGTCCAACTTGTGTCCCCAACCCTCAGAGGGGAGGGGTCAGGTTGACCCGGGTCAACCGGGGGTGGGGTGGAATTTTAAAACACTACCTACAAGGCTATATAAGACGATATAAAATTTAATATTATTTACTATTTGGCGTGACATTGCATAAAATTTTGCATCAGATAAAATAATACTATCCTATATTTGGTGATGTACGTTATAAACTGGATAAGATAAAAATGAACACTATCTTTTACTTAAAAATATATTATATTTATCAAAATTTATTACGACTAATTTTCAGAGAAATAAAAGTTCTGGGACTTAAGGAAAAACCTCACAATCGTTATGAACGTTCAATAATTAAAAAAATAAGTTTGCAGCTTTATGCGAATATAGTCATATCATATGCACTATTTTAAAAAAATTATTACACATATATTTGTAAATATAAATTTACACATACTATTTTAGCTTATACGTCTTCTCCTCATAACTTCTTTATTACTCGTCGACCCAAGAACATTTTTTGGGATGGAAACCACATTTCGGCCCATAATCTTAGACTGGGCTTTCTCATAGCCCAAAACACGAGACCTATCAAACAATAACGCACAAGTTTGGCTCCACCACCAATGTCTGCTGATCAGACGGTCCTGGTTCGATCAAGTAGCCACCATAATCCCTGCGCACAGCACCACTATCACCTCGGGACTCCACCGTTTCCACTTCAACGCGAATTCACCGAGCGCTTTCACCTGCGCTATAACCCTCTCTCTCTCTCTCTCTCTCTCAAATTGGAAGCCGAATCCTACACTTGAATCTCCGAAACGCGTTTCTGTTCTCTATCGAAAGAAGGTGTTGTTCTCTATCTCTGCACCGAGTCGCGGCAATGGGATTAGGGTTAGGGTAGCTCTTCGCGATTCTCGATCATTTTTGTTGATGCCTCGCGTGCGAGTTGGTGTATTCTTGTCGTGGCAGTAGAAGTTTTTGCTCATTGATAATTTAGGTTTTTGGTTATCGATATGTCCAATACTTCGAGGGGTCGAGTTACCATTACTCTTGGGCGGAGCGGTCAGGTAGTTTGAAATCTCTTCTAAATTTTTTATTCTTTTTCTTTAGTTTCGAGATTGTAGTTTGCGCTTTCTATTCAAGGAACTTCTTTATGTGCTTTGTGCTACTTTGTTTTCGCGGTATTTGACTTGTTTCTACTTGCTTGATCAAATAATGGACAACCATTTCGATTTTATTATTTACCATCGCGGCAATTATCAATGAATATGACATTTTGTTTGTCTTTTAGTTTCTGTTTGTTTTCCAATAAAATATACATGTTACAAATGGTCTCTTATGTCATTGACATCCAGTTCTACGTTATGCATAACTTTGTTTGTACTGTTACTCTTTTGTTAATTTTATTTTTTGGGAAAAAAGGAACGTAATAAAATTTTCAATTTTCGCCACTCCTTACGTTTTGAGCATTGGAATGTCGAGTTTTTTGGTTCTGGTTTATGATGAATGGGATATGTGGATTCATGTCAATGACCTGCTATTGTGCACTGGAGTTTAGGTTGTGAAGAGGGATATATCTGCTGCAGATGTTTCTTTTTCTTCTTCTGTTCACTCAGCTGGGACTAAGCGTTCTATAAGAGACAGAATTGGAAATAATGCAGATAGTTCCATGTGGCATGGAAATGGACTCAGCAGCAGTAAACGGTGTGTTTGTGGTTTCTTTCTTACAGAGGCAGAATAGGCTGCCTGTTTTTTCTGTATGATTCAATTAATAGTAGCTTTCATTAATTATTTTGTTCTTATTCTCTGCAGGCAGCGAGGAGATATGAGCGTGCAAAATGGGCTGGATGGTAGTAAGCTCCCTCAGCTGTGAATTTACCCTTGCATTTTTATGTTACTCAATGGTTTCTATATTTTTAATCACATTTTTCTTAATTTACTTAGATGGCCGTATTGGCAAAGATGATCTCCGGTTGAAGCTCATGCAAAAAAGTGCTTTTAGGCGGGCTGAGAGCAATGGCAATAAGAGACAAATGGACCTCCGTGAAAAACTGTCAAAGGCAGTTCACCCTCCGACGAACAGTGTTAATTCAAAGCAGCACGTACCTGAACCGAGGGAAACAAGCTTGCTGAGGCAAATTCCCTCAGCTAGAAGTTCTGATGAATTAATGCGTGTAGAATCCATGAGAAGCTCATACTCTCCTTGGACATTGGATCATATTAGGCGAAGATCACCAGATGGGTTTCCAAGTACTTCCCAGGTGATTTCTCCCTCAAGAAATGTCGAAGACCTACGTAGAAGGCCATTAAACAGGACATTTGATGGCGTCAGATCAGTTTCATATGTAACTAGGGATGTTCTTGAAGCTTCGAGGCCTCCAACAACTGCAACTGCATCATTCATGTCACGCCCCACGATATCCACATTGCCTCCGGTAACTGCTAAGCCTCATCTTGGCCAACTTCCTCCATCAAGCAGTGTTGCTCAAAGGGCTTCATATGTGGTGAATGTTACTTATCTTCTGACCTCCAGATCCTCCTTTTTCTCAATTCTTCTTTTTGGTGTTACTTGGTGAAACATTTCTCATGACCATCTGATGGATATATTGTTTGATTCTGTTATGCCCTTTTGGCCACACCATGCATTAGGAATTGTTTATAAAGATATAGCTTATTGACATGAGAGTATTCCCGAAATGTACCACTTTGGGAACTGTTATTGGAGGCTTGATATTTATAAATTCTGGATGTTTAATCATATCTTATAATTCAATGTGGTGTGTGTGAATTTCTCTGCAATTTGCGTATTGTGATAGTTCAGAAGCTTGCTTTCTTGTAATCCTAGTTTCCAATGAAAAGTGAGTGCTTGAGTGACTTAAACTAGTTTTGTAAAATTGAGTCACATTATTTAACTTGTTACAGTATACCAAATGTTTTAAAATTTCACTTTCAATAATTTGAATAGCTGAATGTGAACGTGTTTTTCCTCTGTATTTGACCTAGAGTAGTCAATAGCGGCATATAGTGTCACTATTGTGCTGTGGCGGAGTGTCGCAGCTTCTGGTTGCTACAGTGATTTCATAGCGTCACATAGATAGTGTCAAAAATTGTTGCTGGATTGCAGAGGATGGTGCCATTCTGCCATCAACTGGCAAAAATCCTATTGTGCCCCTTCCTTTCTTCCATCACTAAGCCATTTTTTAGGGTTACTTTAATGATTGCACATCCTCTTCTACTTCAGAACCAATTTAGCGTTAGAAACCCTTTACCTTCAACAAAACCCACTTGCCCATCTCCCTCAATCTTAAGCGCACATGTTTTCCGTTGCTCTTCTGGACAGCCGTGCATTTTTCGGCCATGGTCATCACTTCAGTTTGCTGTTCCTGTGCTGACCTTCCTCTGTTAGCCTCTGTTCACACTTCACAGTGCTGTGCTGTCCTTCATCTGGAATGTTTCTGCCTTCCTCTGTCCTGTTCAGGTCTTCCTCTTCTCAGTTCACAGAGCTTGTGGTATGGTGTAATTGTCCCAATCAGTATTATTATCTCCCTACTTTTTACCGAAGTATCTATGTTAAAAGTTGATGACCCTTTTGCTACTAACTTGTTAGTTATGCCTTAGATTAATGATGATTGTGTATTTGCATTATATCTCTTATCATCGGTCTAATGGCCATCCTGCTATAACTCTAGCAACCATCCGATAATAGTTTTTTTGGGTTCAGCCACTCCGCCCACTATGCAGGATTGACTACTATGATTTGGCCTCAAAAACTGACTGTGGATGGTCTACTAGCCTAAAGTTGAAGTAGCTGTTTTGATCATGATCAGTTGATTTTAGATGTTCCTCTAAAAGTTTCTTTCTTGGTCTTTACACCAATGGGAATTGAAGCTTAAATATGATAATCTGATTCTGGGGCACTAAATCCGGTGATGGTTATAGTTCAGTCCCCTTCTTGAAGAAATAATGGTCAAACAATTGATTGTATTGTATTGCATTGTTCTCTTGCTAGAATGTTGGTTTAGTTATGAATGCCTCTGTAAGTGATGAGTTGCCTGGCTTGGACAAGATAATTGGTTCTGTTAATTTCATGAGAATTGGTTTTGTTATTCATTATGTGGGCATTGTGGTGATTCAGAGGAATGACAACATAAACTTAAGACGAGTTTATTTGCAGATCATGATTAGTTTCTATTTTACTCGTGTTCCACCTTTTTAATCTTTTTTTCAGATCGGTCCAATTTTTTGAACTTAAGGATGATGTTCTATTTATCCGTGTTGGTGTAACTTTTCATTTACAACCTCCACATGATTCCAATGGTTTAATATTTGATGCTTATCAATAATGTCCATGTATACTACTATATAAAGGTCATGTTTACTTTTTTATTCCTTAAAACTCACTTATCCTGTTACAGTCACTGACATGGAGGGAAATAATGTCATTTCAATACCCACCACCTTACACTTCTATACAGTAGGAAAATGCATGCTAGTTTCTCAGTCAATATTATATTTAAATAAAAATTAAAGATATAGGTGTTCAATACTTCAATTTAAAAGAAGAAAGAGAAATTACACCTATGTACATGCATGCAAAGACTCTAGTTTGCCTCAAGAAGGATATTCTGGACATTTAGGGTATGTTTGGATGGAGTAGTTCAAAGCGGAATGGTGGGGAGGGAAAAATTTTCATTTTAAGTTGATGTTGTCCTTATTTAAGACTTTCTTAAAAGAGAGGAATAAAATTCAAGCTTATCATGTAACCTTGATCCCATATTCAATTTATAAAACATAATAATTTTCTAAGCTCAAATGAAAAAGTTAACCTTCTTCCTCTCCCTCCAAAGTAATGTTTGTAGGTATCAGGTCTTCTGTTGTGATTTTTCTTTTTCTTCAACCAAATTATAATCTTATAATCACTAGAATACTTGTAAAGATCTTACGGAAATTGGTAATAGTAGTAGTGGTTGTCATGTTCTTTACTTTCTTTATGCTAACTAAGAGCTTTTGAGTATGTGAATCTAGCTACTCTGCTGAGATGGTAATTGACTATTGTTTCTTGGCCTTAGCAGTTTATAGTAGGGTTGGAAATTTCTTGCTCTACAGGTAATCACAACTGTGAACAGCATATATGGGTTTTGGTAATAAAAAGGCTCAACTCACTAGACATTGAGTTGAATCTGGGCTGAACCCTACAACCCGAAATTGATCTATTCATTTAAATGGGTATATAGTTTACCCTTTTTAGTATTTGCATCTGAAATGACTATTTTTCCGTAGTCCATAAAAATTTAAAATTGTAGTGAATGAGAAAACCTAAATTCATAATTTTAGACTGATAGAAATTGCACAAACGTTAAACTTTTCTCCATTTTGTTACTTTTTTCAATTGCCATCTTCTGTTGTGGGTTGCTTATCATCCATGTAGTAGGACTCTCTGACTTTATGACTATGGTATATGAATATTTTGGCTATTTATTCTAAGCTTGTTTCTAAGTTTGACTTTATTGTGTTATGAACTTTGATTGAATATTTGATAATCTGAAAGTAAATCAATTAAATGAGCAGGGTCAGAGTCAACCATTTTACAATAGATGAAACGAGTGGTGTTAAGCATCTTAAATTTGTTGTATGTTGATGCTGGTTTTGACATGCTTGATTTGTGCGTTTTCCTATTGGTTTCACAATTTAACAATTGGAGCAACATTATCTTAGTTAATAATGTTATCTGGACATTAAAGTTCTGAACTACCTGAAGTTTATGTAAATTTATGTCATATTTATTATCAGTCTCTATGAATTGATCTTGGACGATTGTGGTGTAAAACTAAGGCAGATAAATTTCCACTTCCCTTGTTAATTTATCTGGACAGATTATCTTAGAAGTTCATCCTGACATGTGGCTTGGCTGGTTATCATGTAGGGTGACGAACAGCAATCACATCAAACTGTTGATGACCTGTTATCTGCACTCGGACTAGGAAAATATGCCATCCTCTTCAAGGCTGAGGAAGTATGTATCTCATTTATTTATGTAAATGATAAATTACATTGTCCTGGTATGTATATATATATATATATATTTTAAATTGTGGATTTGTGTCATGATTTGTTTAATGAAATGTCAAAATCATTTACTCATTAGTTGATACAGGAATTCTTGCCTGGAAAATGATTGGAGAAGACTATTTATAATCAAGGGAACCTTTGATTGTTTGATCCTCTGATAGTTTTAAGTAGTATCTTGCCATTTGACTTAATTCTTGCTTTTTGTTTCAGTTAGTTTGGATTTTTTTATGTTGATGGATGGATGAATTTTACTGTGCTCTCTCTGTCCTGTTTCCATGTTTGTGAAAATATGTTTCGAGAAATTAGTGACTTGTGTAATGTTTAATATAGTGATGACATGACTGAGATTGTTAGTTCTTCAAATTGGTTACATATTAGTTTTAGATTAAACCTAGGGTTTACATAATTGAATTTTATTGTTATATGGCATCTGTAGTGTTAAACTCTAAGCATTAACAAATTTTGCTTTAATGTTTGGCTTAGTTTTATAGAAGGCTTTTAAAAATGAATGTTAACAGGAGGAAAAATGTTAACCGATGAAACATTGCTTAAAAAGAATCATGCTTGTATTTTGTAATCACTTTTAATACCTTTATTCTCTTCTTCCTTAGGTTGGCATTCAACCCCACCTGAGGTAGGAATGTTGCCCATATTAGAACATATCTCTTCAATAACGGTGTTGGAAACTTCTTATTCTCCTGCAATAATTGATAAGATTTTAGCCTCAATTGACAATTACAAAGTTCGATACTCTCATACTGAACTTGATATAGATAAAATCGTGGTGTTTGTTTGTGTGGAGTGCTAAAGTGATCATATATTTTCTAATGACATTATCATATAGTAGTGCATAAGTAGGAATTAGTTACATATTAAAATAATGTATGATTTTGACAAATTGTTATATGTTCTTGCTATGAATTAGGTTATTTCTAATTTGGCACTGGCAGTTATCTTATACACTGGTATGTCCATGCAGGTGGATATGACTGCATTGAAGCAGATGGGGGAAAATGACCTCAAAGAGCTTGGAATTCCTATGGTAATTTTCTTTCTTTTCATTTGTGGCATATGTTCAGGTATTGTTCAATGAGGCTTCCAGTTTTAATTGAATATTACACCATATAGTGTCTCAGATGCGATTTAACATGTCTTGTCCTGTACCATCCATCTCCCACTTGTTGGTTCCATTTCAACTATAATTTACAGTTAAATTGTGTTTAATTTTGTATCAACAAATTCTCTTTCACTTGTTTATTTATTGCTGTTTTGCTGAAAGACAGGATTTTTCCTCGTACTTACACATTTAGCCAGTGAATATGTTTTTTAAATCTTACACGGTCTAAGAAAGTCTACCAAAAATGCATGAAAGTTCATTTCTCAGTCAAGACTAAATTTATCCTGTAAATTTTGCAATCTGAACCTTATGAAAGTTGATAGTTTAGGTATTCTGCTTGTCTTTATTTCTTGTTCTTGCTGCTTTCACTTTTTATGTTCTTGTGACTTTACTCCAACAGTGGCCCGTAACAAGAAGGACAAGATTAAGACGAGGGTGTGTGTGTACCCAAAAAATGTGTGTTATTCATGTGCATGTCCTGAGGACAATGTTTATATGGTGTTATCTGTCTTATGGAGGCTGCTTGGGTTGCAGGGTCCAAGGAAAAAAATTCTTCTCGCTCTCTTACCTCGTACCAAACGTCAACAGTGATTGCTATCTATCCTGCTTGATACCGAAACTGACACTTGGTTAAATCACCAGGTTTTTTTTTGTTTTTTTATTTTTATTTTGAGTGATGGTAAAGTACACATCTGAGAATTCTTACAGTGTAACATGCTTTCTCCCGTATGGGGTTCAAGCTTCCCTTGTATCCACTGTCGCATTTTGCATTCAAGAACGAGTATCGATTAAATTTTTTTCTAGGTGGAAATATTGATCTGTAATATATTATGTCTATGGTTTTCCCTTTTATTTTTATCGAAAGAAATAGGAAATGGGATGAATTTATCCCGAGCCAATGTTTATCGATAGGTAACATTTTCTATACGAAAGTGCTTTGCATTGAGCAAAGTTTCGTTGTGTGGGCAAAATGTGTTGGATCTTTTTTCTTTCTTTAGAAAATGTTTGTTACACGTTATAAAATTATTTTTCATGTGGTTTCTAGAATAAATGTCTTGCTTGTCTTTTTAGGTGCGTTACATGTTACGGCACTATATAAAATTTAGTGCGTTCTTGAATTCGATTGGGAAAGATTTGGATATAGCACCGCGTTCTATAAATATAAAATTTGTATAGTGCACTTGATAAACTATAAATATAGATCATATTAGTCATTTGTGCACCGAATGCATTAGTTGCTAAGATGCTTTGTATAAACAACGTTTTTGTTGAGGAAGATTAGTGTGAAAGGCATTTGTGACTTTTTATGGTTAGGGTGAAATTTTGGTATTTCTAAATACCAATGTCTTTATTGTTAAATTTAACGGATTTGGATTCAGTTAATTGCCCTAGCTGTTCGGTTACTTTTGTATGCGTTAAGCACTTGAACTGCTGCTTTAGCAAAATGCAATTTCAAAAACTGTTCTGTGCTTTGTACAATTGGCTCCTCTCGTCGTGCTTTATTTTGCTTATATTTTTTTAGGCTATGAATTTGGGCAAGTTTATTTTTCTTGAAAAATCTTTTTTTAAATTGCTTAAGAAAGAGGGCTTGGGTTAATAGGAATTTCCATTGATTCACTTAAAAAGTTGCATGCTGCCATGATTAGAATGGGTGAGCTACCTCAGGTTTTACTCTAATAGGAACAAAGCCATTGATAGTTTGTTTTCTTTATTTGTTTTTGTAGAAAATTAGGATTAAAACCTTTCTGTTTTTATTTAGGATACAATCATGTTCTTGATTTATAGTCTATTAATTAGAGATTTAATTTTCTGTTAATAGGGATTTGAGTTTTTTTTTTTCATTTACTCTTGTATATATAGCCAGCGTACATCAAATTGTATCAATTTAGAAAATCCTTTTTTATTTATTACAATATGGTATTAGAACGAGTTCATTCCTACCCTAGATCAACCATCCTTAAGGCTGAAATCAGTGTTCTCATACCGTACAAACACCATCCAACCAACTTGATCACAACTCTACAGGCCTCAAATCGAGAAGGTGATGTGGCCATTCAACTTAGAAAGCTTCGACGAGTTGACCGTCGCCAGACCCACTGCTGTTTGATTGCCCACTGCCTCCACATGTGCGGCCTTTCTCTGGTGCGTGTGGTCCACGCACCACCGTATTGGCCCTTTTTACCGTTGCAACTTTCCTAGAACCACTCGTCGACTACTCCTCTACCTGTTCAGTGGTCAGATTTGTGAAGGAATAACTTTATTTTTGGGTCTACAGTCAAACCCTCTTTCTTCATTCATGGCTTCCTCACTCAATTCTACCGCTTTCCCATCTGCCCCCAATACTCAATCCTCTGGAGACAACTTAGTCATGCAAATCACTAGTCACTGGTTGAATGGTAAGAATTTCCTGCAATTGTTTCAGTTTGTTAAGTTGGTCATCCGGGCAAAGGGTAAGATGGGTTATCTCGATGGGAAGACAAAACAACCTGCCAACTCTTGATTATAAAGATTGGGAGATTGATAACTCCTTGGTAATAGTGTGGCTGCTCAATTCCATAGAACCCCAGATCACCCAAACCTATTTGTTTCTAGACACCTCCAAGGAGATTTGGGATGTTGTTTAGCAAAATTAGTCTGATATAGAGAATACTTCTCAAGTATTTGAACTAAAAAATATTTCAGGTGCTCGATGGTTCATTATCCCTCTAGAGCTTTACTATTTACTTTAATTCGTAGTGATATATGGGGCCCAACCCGACTAAAGAATATTTCAGGTGCTTGATGGTTCATTACATTCATTGATGATCACTCTCAGGTTTGTTGGGTATACCTTTTAAAGGATAAGTCTGATGCTGCATCAATTTTCAAAAAATTTCATGCCATGGTCCAAACTCAATTCCAATATGCTATATGAATTCTTCATACAAACAATGGCAAAGAGTATTTCAACTCTGTTTTTGGGGAATATCTCTCTTAATATGGCATTCTTCACCAAAGCTCATGTCCTGACACACCCCAACAAAATGGAGTCTCTAAAAGAAAAAATCGACATCTCCTTGAAGTTGCTCGAGCTCTTATGTTTACTATGAGTGTCCCTACATACCTTTGGGGGGAAGTTATCGTCACTGCCTTGTATCTTATCAATCGAATTCCTTCTTGTATTCTCAACTTTCAATCTCCTGTTTCTAGCCTTTTTCGCACCTTCCCCTCCTTCCAAGGCATCTCCTCCCTACCTCCCAAGCTTTTTGGTTATGTCGTGTTTGTCCATATTCCCTCTCATCAACGGTCCAAACATGATCCTAAGTCTCTCCGGTGTGTCTTCATTGTTTATTCTCCTACCCAACAGGGCTATAAGTGTTATTCACTCGCTTCGTAAGGTCTTTGTCTCAATGGATGTCACCTTTTCTGAGACCAAACCCTTTTTTCCCTTGACTTCTCTTCAGGGGGAGTCTATAAGAGCAGATGAAGATCAATCATGGAAGCCTACTGATTCCACAATGTTACCTATACTATTGGAGACAGAGGGAGCTACAAAGACAGGGAGAGCCACCTCAAAGTGGGTACAAGTTTATAGCAGGCGAAAGACTCCTCAAAGTGTGAGTAACTTAGAGCCTCTACACTGCCTGGTCAGCTGAGTTCTAGTTCCAGCACCCCGACACTTGAGTGCCAAGATACAATTTCCCATTGCTCTTAGAAAAGGTACTCGATCTTGTATTGCTCATCCTATTTCTAACTATATTTCGTATGCAAAGTTGTCCCTAGGGTTTCGTGCTTTCAACAATACGTTGAACAATACAAAGATACCTAGAAATATACATGAGGCCCTCAATGATCCAAAATGGAGGGATGTTGTCCTTGAAGAAATGAATGAACTGGAAAGAAATTGAACTTGGGAGACAGTGACCTTCCAGAAGGAAAATAGGCAGTAAGACGCAAATGGATGTTTACAATAAAATTCAATGCAGATAATAGCATCAGCAGATACAAGGCAAGATTGGTTGCCAAGGGGTTCTCCCAAACTTATGGGATAGACTATCATGAAACTTTTGTTCCAGTTGCTAAGGTCAATACCATCCGAGTTCTCTTATCTCTTGCTGCCAACCTAGATTAGCCTTTGCAATAGTTAGATGTGAAAAATTCATTCCTAAATGGCGACTTACATGAGGAGGTCTATATGGATTGTCCACTTGGCTTTGAGAAAGGAAATGGATTGGTGTGTAAACTGACGAAGTCTCTCTATGGGTTGAAACAATCCTCTAGAAAATGGTTCGGCAAATTCATACAAGCTGTCAAAAGAAGAGGTTTCATCCAAGCACAAACTAATCATATTCTCTTCTACAAACACTCTATTGTTTACGTGGATGTTATTGTTCTTATAGGTGACGATAGTGAGAAATTGAATTCCTTTAAGGAGTATCTAGCAGCTCAGTTCGAGCTAAAGGATATTGGAGCTCTTAAATATTTCCTTGGTATGGCAGTTGCTTGGAGTAAGGTAGGCATCACTCACACACAAAAGAAGTATGTTCTAGATCTCTTGCTGGAAACAAGAATTTTAGGATGTAAGCCTGTTGTGACACTTGTGGAGCCTAACACCAAGTTAGGTATTGCAGATGGGAACAAGTGAACAAAAAGCGATATCAGAGACTGTTGGCAAACTAATATACTTATCCCACACGTGACCTGACATTACCTTTGGGGTGAGTATGATTAGTCAATTCATGCACTCACCTAAGGAGAACATTTAAGTGCAGTCTATAGTGTGCTCAGATACCTCAAGAACTCCCCAGATAGAGAATTATTCTTCAAAAATGGGTATAGTAGGACGATTGAAATCTACACTGATGCAGATTAGGCAGGTTCATCAGTGGACAAAAGATCTACCTCAGGCTACTGCACCTATACGCGAGAAAATCTAGTAACTTGGAGAAGCAAAAAATTAAACAGTGGTCGCAAGAAGCAGTGCTTAAGCAGAATTTCGAGTTTTAGTCCATGGAGTCTGTGAGGGAATCTGGTTGAGAAGACTTCTTGAAGAGTTGAAGATCTTATATTCCCTACCAATAAAAATATATTGTGACAACAAGACAGCTGTCAGCATTGCTCAAAATCCAATTCACTATGATCAAACAAAGAACATGGAAGTTGATAGCCACTTCATCAAATAAAAATGGGAAAAGTTCAAATACCACATGTGGTTTGCCTTTGAATCACTTACCTCCTGTGTTTTTTTTTATCATTTACTCTCTGTGTTTTTTCCAATCCAAGTCCCTCACTAACAAAGTTAAGAACTTAATTAATATGCCTATTTTACCCTTCTCACAAAAAATTATAAAACATCATACAAATGGCTTAGGCCAAAATTATAGATTTATATATATCAAATGTCAAAGGCATGAAATAGGGTCAGTGGATATTGCAATGAGAAGAAAATAATAAGAATAATAAACTGTGAAACTCAAACTATATAATCCTACAATGGTAGGAGAGCATGGGTTAGTGGATGTCATAAAACAAAAAGTGAGCATAGAATCTATCCTAATACAAAGAGCTCTGGTTGTCTTTTAATATCTGCAAAGAATTGTATATTTCAATCAGTGACAAGATTAAGTGTTTTTTATTTTATTTTTAAAAACAAAAAATAAATTAGATTAGAAGCTAAACTGTTTTTTCTGCTTGGCCATTGTCTGTGCGTTGGTTGTGCGTAAGTAGATTAATTATTTTCTAAAAAAATTGTATTAGTAATTATTATAAAATGATACTTGATGCCTTTGCAATTTGGTATTTGACTCTCTTTTGTAAATCTCTAGTTTTTCCTTTTGTCATTTGGCTCATTTCAAGATAAAAATGTGATATAGATTCATCAAGTAAATCTACAGTTTTGGCCTTTGACATTTGACTATTTTTTTTTTTGTAAATTTTATCTCATATTCTTATTGCAATTGTTTTTAAATGACAGAAGATTCATTGTTACACACATCTTATGCTTGATGCTTCTGTTACCAATCATGTGGAACAACCATTTTTTTATCTCAATATGTGGGTTATGAATGTGACAATACATATGTATATAAAGCATGAGCATCTACATTCATTTGGGTTATCATAACTCAGACACAACACACATATCCAATTAAGATTATGAACAAAAACAAATTTTGGATATGTATCTGTATCTACTAATTCTAGAAAATAAATTTCATCAAAGAGGAAATAAGAAAGAAAATCTGTTACCTTATTACAATAACTTTATAAATTTTGTGTGAAACTGGAGAAATTCGATATGGTTCAAAATCCTTGCAGAGATTGGAAAAGAAGATGAAATTAGAAACGCTAAAGTGTGTTTTAGTATTTACAAAAAAAAAAAGTGTGTTTTAGTAAAAAAGTTAAAATCGTAACATTAATTAGAAACTAACTCTGTTAGTGAGGGACTTGGATGAAAAAAAGCACCGAGGGTAAATGATAAAAAAAAGCATAAGGGGATAAGTGATTCAAAGGCAAATTTGAACTTTTTCCAATAAAAATTAGATGATGGAAGTGTGTATATGATATATATTTATATCAAAGAGCATACTGCAGATATCCTCGCTAAAGGCTTACACCGACCAACATTTGAAGACCTGATTGACAAGTTGAGAATGATCAACATTTACCTCCCAACTTGAGAGGGGGTGTAAAAAATCAGGATTAGAATATTTTCTTTTTTATTTGGGATACAATCATATCCCTGATTTATAGCCTATGAATTAGAGATTTAATTTTATGTTAATAGGGATTTGAATTTATTTCCATTTTTTTTCATTTACTCTTGTATATATATCCCCTCTCAATGTAAATCAAATTGTATTAATTCAGATTTTTTTTTTTTACATATTACAATAGTTTTTGGCCTTTTTCATTCGTTAGAATTTGAGCTACTAAATAAAAGTAGAATTTAATAAAGGAAAAAAAAGTATTATGTTGTAGAAAAAAATTTGGTCATGTCATAGAGACAATCAATTGTGAAGGCCACTATTTTTAAAATAAACAAAAAGTAAAAGAATTGATCGCATACCTTTATATGTCTGTAAGAAAATTGATTGTGTCATGTGAAAGACGAAAATATTACCCTTTAATAAACCCACTTATAGGATTTCTTCACTCGTCCATGAAACGAGTGGCCGCGTTAGATTAGAGCCATTGTACTAAGAGAAAACAAAACATGAGCTTAGAGCTGTGTGTCATCTCTAATAGTTACGCATAGTTTTTCCATACCTACCTACCACGGCCTCATATTAAAACAAGATACAAAAGAATTCATTTCCATATTGCTTTTTAACCTAAGCTAGCCTCTGGTTAAATCATAATTGAAAATGGTTAAAAGGAAGGAATATCGTTACCAACAAGCCAGATTATTTTAAAGTGCCTTATCCGCCGATTTTAGCCCCTACATGGCTTAAATTTCTTGATGTTCTTTACCGTACTACTTTCATTCACAATTGTTTATGATGTCATATTTTGCATAATACCCTATAAATTTGAGTCCAAACACTTTAGACCATGAATTATTTGATCTACTGCAGCTAGAGGCTTGAGGGATTAGCGTTACAAATTACGACCATGCAAATCAGCAACAGAGACAGGGTTGAATCTTCCTAGTTGCTACATTAGCTTTTAATACCCAAGTGCGTTTGATGTGTCAGTATTAGGAATAAGCAGACATTTCAACTTAATATGTTCTTTCTCCGAAGTAACATATTTTGTTATTTCATTTCATTATTTCATATGACTGCATTATCATATTCCATTATATATATAGTTTTTCCTTGGTCAGTTTTGGCATTCTATGAGGTCATATAAAATATTAGAAACCCCACTTTGGATTTATCCTAAAGTGAAGGCAATACCAAGTGGTGGGAGAGCAAGGTTTTGGGCCAGTTGATGGGTAGGGACCACGGTTTGATTTGATATTCTCAAACCAACGTGTAATGAAATGGAATTAGCTAAAATCAATCAATCAGCCAAACCACCCACTTACTTAACCACCATAACCCAATCTCCTTCCTCATGGCCTCTTTTTATTCCACATGTTAGGATAGTGAATTGCTAGATGACAGCATGCCTACTTGGAATTCTCCTCTTAAAGCAAGAAAAAAAAAAGTGAATAAGATTGAAAATAGAGAAAAGGAGTGGGAATTCATGGGCACGAGAAATTTATTGGTGGAAGAAGTCAACCAATGGAAGATCTAGTTATGAGACAATGGAATAAAACACAATCTTATGATTTCTAAATTGTCCCAAAAGCATCATAGTGTGGGTCCAACTAGAACAACTGTCCAACGCAAATGCTCAGTTTATTTGTAGAATAATATAATAGTTGATGACTTGATTCACCTGAAAATATAAGTTGTATAAAATATAGGCTTTGCCTGCTCTAAGAAGATATGCCCAGATCTTATGGAAGACTCTTATTAGTATATATGCTTACATCATTGCCCACTTTCTTATATTCCTTATTTTACAACTACTCTTTCTTTTCTATTAAAAGAGCATTTGTAAAACATGGTCAAGAAAAACAGATCAAGGGTCTTTTTTAATTGGATTTAACGTGTTTATCTTGTAAGAAATAAAATTATCTCTTATACATATATAAAAGTATATAAAATTCAATTTATTTTTTAATCTCTCTTCTTCTTACATGACCTTACATGGAACTCATATATTTTTATATATATGTAAGAGATAAAATTATCTCCTACGAAAAATATCATATCCCTTTTAATTTGATTGTGGGTGGAGGGATAATTACAAAGAAGCTTTATTTAGTGCTGAATAATCACATTTCTACAGATGTTAGCATTTTATAAATTACTTCAAATTGAATTAAGTCTAGGAGATGGCACTAGGCTATAGCTTAGCATCCGTTACAGTAATATTAATTTGGCAATCTTTATATATAATATATGATAAGTATAGGTAGAGGACAATACATAAAGCCGTAAAGTCATTGGCTGGTTAGTAAAATAATCTTAGATATGCATTTTAGTACAGTAGTAGATATGTTATAAAGTTAGTGCCCCCTTCCTTCCAGATGATCCCATCCTCTTTCTTTGACTTTTTGCAGCTACAGTTAGTTTAATAACTTTAATCATGTCTTAAGCATGGAATATATCTCTTTTTAATGAAAGACAAAGTCAAGTGGAACTATAAATATTATTAAGTGCTTATATACCATCTAATTCCACCTTAAATAAATTACAGTGAATCCTCTTTTGATTGAAAAGTTTGAGGTGTATCTACTACAATACGAAAGAGTTTGTTTTTTATATGACAAACATTGCATGAGAGACGGCTTTCTATTATATGACTTTTCTTTTAAATCTTTATTCTATTGACTCTTGGGTTCCCTAATGCTGTTCATGTAATATAAAGCTAGTTATTTTAATAGATACAATGCATGTTGGAACCTAAGAGCTTACTATAAAAGGAAGAGATGTCTAGCAAAACTAATCAGTACATTTCTAACTCGAAATATTTCTTTCTCTTACCTAATAGAGATGGAAAAGGATGTGTGTGATCTTTCCCCTACATGGGATGGTGATAATGGAAACTCTGTGGAGAAAAGGCTCAGGTTATTTGGCTTTGAGCTAAACCCTTCTAAGAATAACGAGGGATGTATCAAAGAGTCTGCTGAAGGAGATGAAAGTGTGAACTCCTCTAACTCAGTTTCATCAGGAGGAGAGAAAACTCCTGAGGAGAAGGGCACAGCCAGAGACCCAGAAGAGAGAAAGTTTGAGTGCCAATACTGTTTCAAAGAATTTGCAAACTCACAAGCATTAGGAGGCCACCAAAATGCCCACAAGAAAGAAAGAATGAAGAAGAAAAGATTGCAGCTTCAAGCTAGGAAAGCTAGCATAAACTGCTACCTACAACCTTTTCAAAGCAACCATGGCTTTGCTTACCATGGCTCTAATACTCCTTGGTTCTATGATCCCTCTTCCTATAACTCTGAGTTCACCTTGTGTGAAGAGTCTCAGATTAGCTTCAATTCAAATTATCAAGATACCAACTTTAGTACTGGTGATCAGAAATCTAGTTGGTATTCTTTGCCATCCCACACTCCTCCCCAACAACAAACTTGCATGTTTGCTTTCTCCAATACAGATAATTTTACAGATAATAGGCCTTTCATCTTCAAGTCTCGTCACTTCCCTGCTTCAAACCAGAGCCATAGTAAAGCTTTGGATCTTCAATTAGGCCTCAACATGCAATCAAATACAAGAAGCTCTCAAAGAAGGCCTTAATTTAGTATAGGACATATAGATTAATTAACAGTTTTTATGTTTTCCTTGAATTATTTAAATGTATCAATTCTCAAGCATATGGGAAAAGAAAATGAGAAAAGTTAGAAAAAAAAAATTCACAATTCATTTAGAGTTGGCTGGCCCTGGCCACTTCAGAGCCAATTACTGAAGAATCCTGATAAATGATCGCTCAGACAATATATACAAATCATAGTGTATTTATAGCATATATCCATTGGCAATTAAATAGAACACGTGTTCTACGTTCTCAACACATTTACAAGCTTCTCAGATACCGTTTTCCTTTACTCTCTCAGTTATCTTTTTGTCAGACACAAATTTATCTTCACAGGATCAATCATGGAGACACAGAGAGAAAAGGGTAAAGTGAGTACTGTTTACATAAAGGAACATTTACCCAGTTCCAAAGTTCTTCTAGTTGCAATGTTGCATGTCAAGGGAGTGTGAAACAAATTCCAAAGGGAACCTGAATGAGGCACACTGAATGAAAATATACGGCTATCCAATCCAAAAAATAGGTATATTTCAAGCTGGAACAATGAGATAATACCTAGGATAAAAAATTTGGTTTCTCTATTACATGAGTTGTTAGGAGGTAGGAGGATAATGAAGACTAATACAATTGTTATAATAATGATCTTTTATGTGAAATTTCTGATGTTTGGTGACAAGGTACTTGTATCATTACCTATATCCTAATCTCATCTTACTTCAGATATAATTTCCCTTGTGAAATTGCTTAATTGAGAAAAACAAGTTTACCAATGAATGAAATTAAATTGCTCAATACAATGTTTTGGCACAGTGGTGAATCTCAAATCTCTTATTGCAAACTGTCACAATATATATACAACAATAATCATCAAATAAACTCAGCCAACAATACCCGACCTTTCAAATGTCTCAAGCATTGTAATTTTGGAAAGAAACTATCATATAAATCTCTTTTATAACATCAAGAATCATTTTTATCACACTTAATTTGAATCCCCTTCCCAATTTTCATTCACCCCATTATTATAAGTCATGTATAAGAGTTAAAATCTTACTAAAAGCATCTCGTAGACAAGTTCATGTCATCATATGTCCAAAAAGAGGTTACCCTTATGACTTAGTTCTGTTTACTCTGATATTATGAAAAATATGAAATGAAAAACTTGAACTCCATTCGTTTTACTGTTAATTTGACATTACTGTTTGATAGGCTCTAAAATATCATTTTCTTTTTGTCATAGTGCTTATCCTCATCTAAACTATATTGGTTTTGTTGGAAATATGAATCTTAGTGTGAGTAGTGAAGTTCCACGTTAGTTATAAATGTGTTAAGTGAGAATCATATTAGTAAAAAGATTCATGAGCCAATGCTTTAAATTTTTAGGTTAAGATGTGGTGTCAACTCCATTTATAATAGAGTTTGTAGCTTAATTTATATAATGATAAATCTTCTACCAATAGGTTTCTCTATTTTGCTTACCATATCTACCTTTTTGGCACCATGTAGGCAACTTCGTTTCATGATATATCCAAGAAGTGATTACCTATAGATAGTTCTATAGACTTTGATAATACGAAAAATATATGAAATAAAATACTTAAACTGCATTCGTTTTACTGTTAATTTGACTTTAGTGTTTGATAGGCTCTAAAATATCATTTTCTTTTTATCATGGTGCTTATCCTCATCTAACCCATATTGGATTCTCTTTTTGGCTTACCATATGTACCTTTTAAATGTCCTAATATTTTAATGCTTTCTTCTTCTCCCCATTCATCATCAAATAACTATCACAAGCAAACTCTTATTGTAATAAAGTCCATCACATTTGGCAGATATTTCTAATTGTTTTCTAAGTGATAAAAAATTGTGTTTTTGTCTTATCCCTCCTCTTCGCTGATATTAAAACACATTTTACGTGTTTTTAAAGTCTGATTCATTGCATTTGGGGCTATTACTATAGGGTGGAGCAAATCAACAAGATGCATTATTTTCAGGTTCCATGTGCCACTAGAACAAGAAACCTGAGTCTAAGCTTTTATTATAGAATTTGATTTGAGTATTTGCCTCGATGAAATTTTGGCAGCATTCATGTTTGTTACAGAACAAACCAATTAACTATAACATTCGTAATTTAATTAGTCAGCATTTAAATTAAATACTAAGACGCTCTCCTAACTCTATCTGTAATAATTTATTTTTAACTATAAAATAACATATCCCACTATCACACACATTTTCTTATTGTCAAACACTAGAAGACAAAATAAAGCTCTCTTAATCCATTTCATAATCAGCAGCCACACATTTCTTAAGAAAAAACTATTCTCATGTTACATAAGATAAGTTTTTCTCCTTACACATCCTTCGATAACTGTGTCATTTTTTTCTTTTCTTTTCTTTTTATTTTTCCAGGTGGTGGAGCCTATAAGTTTGTCTTTATGACATGAGATAACTTATCTCCTTTAATTTAGATTAATAAAACCCTATTTCTTAATATTTATAAGTTTTTGATTAATTAAAGAGAATGTTAATGAAAACCTTGGAGATTGAAATAAAGTCTATAACGTCTGTTCTTTCAAATGTATTTGAATATGTTGGAATATTCAAATGAGATGAGTCTTAATCTATTTAATGTTTTCACTTATATACATTACATTTAACTCATTATCATCCAATGTTGGACTTCAACAATTTCCCCCTAAGTATGAAATCCAACATTGATATTCCAATGTTGGACTTGAACAATCTCTCCGTAAGTATGAAACTCAACATTGATATGCTCCCCCTCAGACGAGTACCTAGACCCAAAGTACTCAACTCACTTCCTTGTCAAACACATGGGTAGTCCGAGCCCAACCCAGCGTTGATACCAAAGTCAGACTAGTCCGGAGGCAGCCCGTGACGGGGGATAACCACCAATGAGCTAAGCTAGGCCAATCATACCAAGTGGCTCCAACACCATGTCTCAATCCAAATTTTTAAGGTATTGTATTCATACATGGGTCCTCCCGCTTATATAGATTTCACTTAACTCATTATCAATCAATATGAGACTCATCACACTTGAATATTCCAACAGAATACATACAGGATAGTTGAATTTAATTTATATAAAAAAATTGTTCCCGGCTAAAAAAAATAAAAAATTAATTGCTTGATTGTAAAGCAGTTTTTTTTTTTTGGATGAACAACTGCCGAGTTATTTATTAATGATAATGGAAAGAAACTCTTTAATAATGCTATTATTTATTTGCAATTCTCTCACTTCTTTCTAATAATATTTAAATATTTATGCTTAAAACGGATTTATGTGATCGCCTGAAAGGTTCTCGTATTACAATTTTTTCACATTTTAGAAAACCAAACTATAAAAATTATGTCCTGTTAAGTTTACAAGCACTGACTATATACATAATTTTGAAAAGAAGTTTAAAAAGATGATGGATCCTTGTATCCAAAAAGAAAAAAGATGATGGATCCTTCTCTTTTTCATTTTCTTTTACTAAAAATCCAATCAAGAGAATTGAGAGGCAGGATTAATAATTTTTCAAGATGAAAAAATAAACAGGGAACCAAAATGGGTTGTACTTGTAGCATGTAAAGTTAAATTTTTAAAGTTTTTAACATTGCAATCTAATGATGTATTAATACATCATTGGAAAGTTATTATTAAGTAATGATAGTGATATATAATCACATATTTTTAATAATTTAATAATATAAAATTAAATGAAAGTATAAATTTTTTTTACAGTATTCAAATCAAATCCTTAGATTTGTTTTCTTTTTTCAATGACAATGATAGGTTTTGTACTGCATCGTAAAGTCATTTTTAAAAATAAAATATTTTTCATAAAAATAGAGCTCACCCAGCAACATCTACATAATACATTACCCAAAAAAAAACATCTACATAATAAATATATGTCAAACTACAATATCCTCCAACATATGATTAATTAAATTTCAATAAAATACACGCAATATATGGCCCTACGAGGAAAAGGACCTAACTACAAACACTTCGTAGAATTTGACGATTATGAATTTAGAATTTTATGGCACTTTTATTCAACTTCTCATTCAATTTTTTACGTTCCCTTTTCATGCATTTAAGTTTTTTTTTTATAGCGACCTGAATTATCTCCTTGAGACGGATCTTTTAGTATCTTTCACAAACTTCAATTATTTGAGTTGATTAAAACTAATCCCGAGATGTTATCAAAAAAAAAAACTAATCCTGAGATAGGGTTTAGTCACAGTTAAAACTCATCTTCTCTTCGAGATTGTTTTAGCTCGTGTTATCAACTGAGTTACACTCATTGAATATGCATTTAAGTTCGTATCAAAGCAAACGCGGGAGAGGTAGAACTATATGGTAGATGAAAGTTGTCTATTTAAAATTTGAAATCATTATTTGTATTTTCTAATATTAAGCCATATATATATATATATATAAACTCTTTCATGTTAATAATTTAAAAATGAGCATCGACGTATGTAGTGTTTATCCAAAATCAATAAAAGTATACACATTTAATTTTTCCAATAATGACAATGTGAATTGGAGTTCAATTTGATGTACTTTCAACCTCAAGCAATTGAATTAGTAAAATAAATAGAGAATATATTACCGAAATAAATAAATATAGAATAGTCGCTAATAATAAATGAACTAATCATCAACCTCTGCTTAATATCTTTTTGTTTTGCAAGATGATATCCATATATTTTTTTAGTGTATTTTTCTCTATGATAAGCTTTCGAAAAAATTTACACCTTGATCGTGTACTCTCAAAACCAAAAATTAAAAAATAAAATCATTAAGTAGCTATGTTGATCCAAATGGGACATTTTTTTATTTTTATTTTTTCTTATAAGATTCCTTTACATCTAAAGGTGAGGGCCCCATGCTAATTATGTTCTTGCCTCTTTTCATAAGTGCTTTATTGCAGGCTAGAATGTTTAACATTATAGAATCTTATTATTTTTTCAATTTGAGTTTTTTTGACCTTTTTACTCTTCATTAATTAATTAATAATTATTTTATCCCTTATTTAAAATTATCTATCAATTTGTCCCTCTTTAATCGATTAACTTGAAGATTTAATCAATTAAATGGTCAAAAC